CCCACCAGCTAGTCCTCCCTCCCCCTACCCGTCCCTCCTCTCAGCCAGTCCCTACCACCCCCCATCTGAGATCAGGTGTGCCTGGTATTTATTTCTGAAGCCACCTCGTAACTCTACTGGAAAATTAATAAGAGCATTTTCCAGACATTAGCCTTAGGTAAGGCAGAAGGCCCAATCCAAAAATTATAGCAAGTATAGAACTCCAATTAACAAACATGCTCCCCCTACCCGTCCCTCCTCTCAGCCAGTCCCTACCACCCCCCATCTGAGATCAGGTGTGCCTGGTATTTATTTCTGAAGCCACCTCGTAACTCTACTGGAAAATTAATAAGAGCATTTTCCAGACATTAGCCTTAGGTAAGGCAGAAGGCCCAATCCAAAAATTATAGCAAGTATAGAACTCCAATTAACAAACATGTTGAGTGTTTGCCCAAAATGTTTTGCAAGTCTAGATTACTTATAAAGCAAGTGACCAGGTAGAAAAACAGAATATATTGCACCAAGATTGTTGCTGAATAATAAAAAAGTTAATCCTATCAATATAATAAACAATGTTTATATACACTTTGCAAATGAAATGAAGTCATCCTTAGGAAAAAAACAAATTACATTTTTCTCTTCAGCATCGGAAGAAGTGAGTTTTATCTCACAAAAGTTTATGCCCTAATGCCTTATAGCAAAATAAATTTGTAAATGCATATTTACTTCTTGAACTACCAAATCATTAATGATAGCACAACTAGTTTTTAAAATAAACTGATACGAATAATTAGCACTGAGTCTCGTACCTCCTTAGGTATTGTCAAAGAATGACAATTTATCAGGCCCAATATTTTGAAATACTAAACCAGATTTTTCTCAACACAAGAGAAAGTGCATTTGTTAGAAGAGAGGCAATCACTTCAACATTAGTTTATACTGAATTTCTCATTGGAAGGTGTGATATAGACAAATTGGAGGATTGGGTCAAAAGAAATCTAATGAGGTTCAACAAGGACAAGTGCAGAGTCCCGCACTTGGGACAGAAGTATCCCAAGCACTGTTACAGGCTGGGGACCAACTGGCTAAGTAGCAGATCAGCAGAAAAGGACCTGCGGATAGCAGTGGATGAGAGGCTGGATATAAGTCAACTGTGTGCCCTTGTAGCCAAGAAGGCTAATGGCATATTAGGGTGCATTAAGAGGAGCATTTCCAGCAGATCTAGAGAAGTGATTATTCCCCTTTATTCGGCTCTGGTGAGGCCACATCCGGAGTATTATGTCCAGTTCTGGGCCCC